ATATCAACTCTCTTCCTCCTTCAGACGAGAACAATATATACACTTTGTCACAAAGGAAGAAAGATACATTATGTCTTATTGGTGACCTGTTTGGAGAGAGATACAGTGTGATTGGTCACACTGGCCTCAATACGAGCGAATGTTACCGGATCAATAATACTACCTGCTTGAAAGAAGTATGGTCTATTATCCAAAGGAGAAGGTGTTGTATGAATATCATCGATATTATAACGACGAACATTCCGTTGAGCATTTGTATTATTTATTGTCTGAATAAATAAAAGATGAGGAATTTTTCGAAGGAAAGATAATAACTTGCTATATTTAAATTTGTTCGACGAATGCTTTGTTCTGATTTTTCACTTTCAATATTACCAATGGATATATTTTGTTTATTTGAAAGATCATCCATGTTATTTTTTCTACAGTTTCTTGTAATTATAAAATTATAATTTAATTATCTAAAATAAATCAAAAAATTAAAACAACAACTTAACTGTTCCAGTAAATCATTTAAATCATACAGTTTAGTATTGTATATTTTATAGAAGAAAGAGTTTGTGATATTTTTGAAAACAAGTCAATTCAATTCTAACTATAGTATAAAACTAAATGTGAATAGAATACATATAATGCAATGATCTATAGAAGATGCTTCACATATATATAGATGGAGAAGCAAGAGAGAGAGAGAGAGAGAGAGAGAGAGAGAGAAATTCTTGGATTTTTCTCATTTGTGAAAAAAATAGAGATGCATAGATGAAAGAGATAATAAAAACAATTATATAGGATGATGGAATTCATAATTGATGTCATCATTTTTTATATCAATCATTCACTAATTAGTGACATGATCATGGCGTCATCAAGAATTTGATCGACATTGCATTCTGACAAGTGCTAATGAGATGAAAGTTTGAACAAATACAGATATCTAAATATAAGAATACCAAGTTATACCTAGATTAGAAACCGAATAGATGATAGAGTTATAATCTGAAAACAAAAAAAAAGTGAATCAATGATGATGATCAATACATATAAAAGTGAAGCAAAATGAATTATCAATAAAGTACATAATTAATAGTAGCAGATGATTAAATGAATTGAAAACAATAAATGAGAATGTATGAATAGAGATTTTAAAAAAAAAGAAATAACAACAAAAATTGTATGTTCAAAAGTCTGCAATGTTTAGAATTAAATAGAAGAAAGTCAAGTATGCAAAAATGAGATAATCTTTTGTGTACGATTTTCTATCTTTACACAACGAGCTTCGATAATGGCACACATGAGAGGATCGAATTCGTGAGAAAATGGCATCTGATAGAATTGATGATTATTTTGATCCAGATCAGATTGATTAGCCTTGCTCTTGAATGTTATTGTTGTATTACTTCGTTTGTTATTGAATGAATTGAATTTTTTTTGATGAATCTGACGTTGACAATATTTTCGTTTTCCACGCCAAATCTTTTCGGCTTTGATTTTCTAAAGCGAAAAGATATAAATCAGTATGCTATAGTAAAGTTTAGAAGAAAAAAAAAGAATAACGAATTACTTGATCTTCTGTCAGATGAAGTTCATAGAATGATTTCATTAGTTGAATTTCGTCAGCATCAAATGGTAACATACTTTTCTTCTGTTCAAATCTTGTATGTAATTCTTTTAAACCATTTTGAATGAGAACTTGTAGCGTATCCGATATTATATACATTATTTCATCGATTGATGTTTTATCAGATAACAACGAGTAATAACAAGAATATTGCTGTTGTAAATGAATTCGTAGTTGTTGACAGATTTTATCGAGTTTATTTTCTGTTCGTTTTTGTCGATGTCGAATATTATGTTCAGTTCGAGGATAATCCCAATTGATTGAACATCGTTTTGTGAGATCCTTTGGCATTCTTGATAACCATCGGGCGGCAAATAAAAGTCTATCTGTGACATGATACCAATAATCTTTTTCTATTTTCAATTGAAATCTCTTACACATTAAATGAGCATAGTTTTGAACAAATGATAATATTTTTTGATTTCCTAAATATTGTTGAAGTTGTTGACGATAGCAAGGATTTGCTGTATAAGATAGCAAGGATTTGCTGTATAAGATAGCAAATTTTTAAATTCTTGTTTTGAAATTTCATTATAGTTTGGTGTTAATTTCGGAGATAATTTCCATATGTCAGTGGACAAGCTTGATATCTTTTTTGTTCGTCTACGATTTTGTTTATATGATAAATATCGATTTGAACAAGTCTATACAAAAAAAACATATCTTGAGGGTGTGGGTGTGGGTGTGGGTGTGGGTGTGGGTGTGGGTGTGGGTGTGGGTGTGGGTGTGAGTGTTAAATGAAGATGATACCCACACCCACCCACACCCTCAACCGTTTTTTCAGAAATTATTCAACAAATGCAAACAATTCAAGCAGAGTATCCCAATTTTACCCAACCCAAGTCAAAATTTACCCAAAGGAGAACAAATTCCACCCAAACGTCATTGACTTTTACCCAAATCTACACTTAACGAGGCAACACCCTTCGTGGCACCCTCACATTGTGATATACCCCCTGCATTCTACACCCTCATTTGAGATAGACGCCTTCAGAATGTTTCGACAACTGAATATCTACTCAAATTCGACATTTTTTGCAATATCGATTATCTAGGTCAGAAGACTTCTTTTTTTTTTTCAATGTACCCAAATTGACCTTTGCTATTTTTGTAGATGGAAGGCTGACTGTGGTTTCGTATTGTAGAGGTGATCGAGTTTTATGGTCAAAACTGTTATTGTTGGATTGTAGGTTATGATAAGGATGCTAGAAGCATTTTTCTTTCGTTCCATTATTCGTTATTGTGTGTGTTTTGATCGGATGTAATGGAGTAGAGTGCCTGTATTTCGGTGAAGGATTGGTCTGTGTTTGTGGCTAGCCGCCTGGGCTAGATCGAGATTTCTCTGTGTATTCGTGATATGTTGAATTGATTGGTGCTGCTTGGACGTAGGTCGGATGGATTTGAGAAACCTCTTTGGGTTAGATAGTAGATTAGCAGAGGAGTGATTTTGTGCGATGAGCGGCTTAAGTTGGAGCATTGTGTCATGGATGAAGATGCTGTACGTATTTGGACGTATCTAGTGCCGTGATTTATAGGTCAAGGATGTGCATTTTGCGTGATGAATGTTGTGGGAAATTGTTTTTGTAGTAACTGTAGGTTTTGTAGCGATCGTGGTTTAGTATATTTCTTTCTTGAAAGAGGGCTGTTTATTATTGCTGATGCTTTGTTAATGTTGAATGGAACACTATAGATGAAAGAGAATATTCTTTGAAAAATAGCCGTCGGCTGTAGGATGTATTTTTATATTGGAGCTGTTGTATGTTGTGGTAGGGATTAAGATTATTTCAGGTCTCGGTAGGCATTTTTCTGCTTGTTGTAAGTATGGATGCTGTCGCTAGGATTGAACGTGAACGATATGTGACGCTCGTCAGATTGTGTCATATGGTTTGTAGTATTTGATATCTTGTATATGGTATTCGACATCATTAGGACATATGCTACGGCTAAACTGCCTATAATAGAATCCTTTACTACGGACCAAATCATAATAACTGCTGCCTGATGTAATCTAAAAAGTATTTTGTTATGGTACAATAAAATGGGTACATAAATGGGTTTGTGTTATAAAACACTTTGGGCTTTGTATTTCATAAAAGAAAGGATGTTTTCATGGTGCATTTTCATTTGATTATATGAAAGTTCCCGTACAAGTAAGCAATATCAGTATGATCAGTTAAATAAAGAGCTAAAGTAATAGTTATTATTGAGTAGATGAATTCTATATGCACGTACACACATCCAATGAAGATGGATAGATAAAAACGAGAAAATGAGACAGTTTTTCATAAATGACAAGAGCTGCTAATGCTGTTTGTTCGCATACATGCTTTACAAATGAAATGTCCACGACACACAACAGAGCCATAATTTTGATCGTGGAATATATAAACAGCTGTTGACGTAAGAAAGACCTGAAGGTACAATGTTCAACGTATTTAATCAAACCATTCTTTGATAAGATTCATACATTACGATCGAGGAACTAAGCTGTCTGTGGCAGTATGAGTCTGTAAACATTAGTCGACACATTTTCGCTCATACTTTTATTATGTCATTATTTGATGTATATGATATTATTTCTTTGTACATCATCCCAACTTTCAACAGTTCAACACAAGCAAACCACTCATTGTTTACTAGCGATGAATAACTCTAATCACTGTTAGCTGGCAAGTTTCTATTTCCATTACTACCAAACACAAAAAATCCATCTGTTTTGGTATCTATTTGCAAGCTAATGACTACTTTCCAAGCACGCTTCTTGTAGAATATTCATGCCTACTGCTAGAGAAGCAATGAAAGTAAATAAATTTCTTGTATATACATATATATATTCAGAATATTAGTTTGAGACAAATAGTATGTAAAGAATGAGTTCGAGAAAGATCCAGCAATAACAATCCGATCTACAGAAGAGCCATTGATTATGCGTTGAGGAAATGTTACATTATAAGTAATGGCGGATGGAATACAACTATTTGCAACTAGATGCATATAAATAGGCTAAAGATAAGATTCTATATTAAGTCAAAATAGGAATAGTCTGAGATATTCACAACCAATATACTCAACTTTCAGAAAAGAAAAAGTTGTACTATAATCCCATTTAGTTATAAACATTCTGTACTCATATGCACTGTTCATCTATTATGAAAACAATTCATTCAATTCATATTATGCTTTAAATAAATATTTTTTGTGCTACTAAAAGAATTTAATACGGTTTCGACATCTGAGGAACCTGATGAGAAATAAAGCACAAACGAAACAAGTCCTGGTATGATCTTCTAAATAATATCCCTGGTTTCTTCAGATTCTATAATTCGTTTAATTTTGCTTCATAGAGCAAAGTAGATGATGTTTTAGTTCGATTTTATTTATTTAAATTGAATCAAATCATAATTTCTTAAGCCACCTGAGGAGTCCGTTGAGCAAGGATGAAACCGGTCGTGGTATGCTCTTAAAGTATATTACACCTTATGAAAAATATATTGCTTTGCTTTGAAATAACTTTTAATTCTAACTGTTTGGAGGTTCATATTTTGAACTTTCGATGTTCGCATTGAAGTTCTAGGCAAAGATAGTTAAAGCTACCTGATGAAACAGACTCCAGAGAAAGGTCGAAACTGCAGTCGTAGCATTGTCTATCTATCTCACGCCCTCAATAATTTCCATCTGCTATTTAGAGTAATTAGGCTTGACGATTGATTTGGAAGCTTTGCTTTCAATTTATTTTGAAAATTTAGCTTTTAGAATCTTTCTACTCGCCAATTATCTCATCATGCGGATCTTATACCACCTAATGATTGATTCCTTTGAATAAGAGCCATGATCCGGGCAGTGGTAGTTATTATTTTGAACAGGTCCTCAGCATCTATCTGTAGTGGGGGTTCTCAATTGATAGATCAATCGGCTTTAAGTTTTTTCCAGTTATGACCATGTTGTTAAAACCGTAATCATGATAAAACAATATTATGATCAAGGTCAACTATGCTCTACCACGTCAAAAACTACATAAAAAAGAAAAGGTTTTACAACTTGAAGAAGGTGATGAACATTCAACAAAAGTAATTTCTTTAAAAGATATTAATAAAATATCAGTTATCCAACATACACCAATGATTACTGAAGCAACAAATGGTAATGAACGAAAATGTTTTATAATAAAAAGGACGAAATCTAGATTATGGCAGTTAGTTTCACACAAACTACAAAGATCCTTAGAAAAATACATAGAAACAAAGATTATGATGAGTTCAGTAATTGATTAATTAAAGAAGAGTCAGGGAGAGTTGACCCTTGTTAATGAAATGTTTGTCATATGACAAAGAATCGATTGATATATTAAGGTCACATGGTATGTCAACAAATGCAGGAGATATTGAGGAAATTCCTGAAAAACGAACTTTCTAATTAGTTAATTAGGAAAGCGCCAGACACAGTTGACCCCTGTTGATGAAATGATTGTCATATTCAGAGGAATCGATTGATATATTAATATCTCTGGTATGCCAATAAATGGCAGAGATGTTGAAGAATGTACCTAAAAACGAACTTACAAAATATCTGTTGAACAAAGATTCATGGAGTATTGATCTCTTTTGATGAAATATTCATCTCAATGAGATCTATCGATTTAGCATTGAATTTCGTATGATTTATTAATTGATAAAATAAGTTTAGATGCATGTTGAAACTTATTGTTTTGAAGTTCCATTGGAATGTATAATACATAGCTGCACGTCGACATGGAGCTAAAAATTATCGCATTCGGAATATTGTTTTTTTCAAGAAAGAGAGTATAAAAGAAGTGTATTTTTTCATTATATGTTGCATATTTTGTTATCATTATTCCATTGAATATCGTTGGTTCCATCAATGGCTTCAAACAATCATCATCAAATTGGTATAGATGCAAATGGTTTGAAAATGGATAAAGTTGTGTTCAAATTCGATAATTACGAAAAAAAAGTATTTGATCTACAAATTAAAGGTTCATTTGCACCAGGCGTTTCAAATGGTGTAATCAAATTGTTTGGTAGGATGATTGCTTGGTATAGGATGTTTTATTGATTCAATTGTAGGTTCAGATGATGGTGTTGCGCAAAGTTTCATTGCAAATAATAATAATAATAATAATAACAGTAATCATGAAGGTAGAAAAATTGCATTGTTTGATCCATAATTACATCAGTTGTTATAGTTGATTTAGAAAAATTGGATTTTAATGCTATTGTACGCTTGGATCGTTTAACAAACGAGCAATTACGTTCAGCTTATATTGGAATTCCTTATCTTCCTAAAATACCTAAAAAAAAGAATTATATCTAGTAGTACTATCAATAACACCAGTTAGTACTTAAATCGATTAAATAACTTTTAACGATTGCATATAACATTGTTTCTTAGATTTGGTTCGTAAACGATTTTGTAGCACAGTTCCATCACAAGTTCCAAGCAAAAGGCGTCGACAAACACAATAAATTGCAGATCTTTATTAACATTTAATAATTTTATACAAATATATGCTTAAGTCTTAAGTTATCTATGTTTCAATGTTTTCTCGATAAATGTGATTAGTTCTTCATCAAGTCTCATTTACAACAAAAGAGAATTTGTATATTCAATCACTAAATTCTTCTAAAGGAATTATTGAACATTTAGAATTCCATAAATAATTAATAAACCATTTACTTTGGAGCATTCATCATCTAATCTTGTAATATACCTATTCTAAGATGTATCTGATACTCTAGTCTTATATATAACACATACATATATAAATATATACGCTCTTGGTAATAGTAAATCATCTTTCATACGTACTACTTTCCTATGCTTCTTATTAATCATTCACTACTAATCTATCTTGTAGCATACTTTCACGTCTTAAAGGCATATTTTCATTTTTCATTTGTTTTATTACGCTTCCTCATAACATATCAAACTATGCACATTTTCTCACATATTTGTATCTCATGAAGAAGAAGGGCGATAATATAAATTAAGATATGAAATAATGCAACAACGCAATAGAATATATTAGCCCACTGCTTTGCATTTCCCCCACTCATACCCTCATTTATGTGCTATAAAAGCAGACGTTTTCACTTCTATCTTCATTTTCATCTTTTAAAATACATTATATATCAGGCAAGTACTATATACAACTTTAGTCATGGAAAAACGTAACAATCAATATCAATCTGCTTCTACAACATCAGATGCAGAACGAAACAGAAACAGAATCTAAGAAATATATGAACATGATGAAGAGCATGATGAATATTCAATAGTCACAGCTACATCTACTGTTCCTATTCGACCAATCCAAATGTGATCAATTGAAACACCAACCACATTCATTACCTGCATATCACAATCAACCAGGTTTGTTCGTTTTTCTTCTCTTTGTTTAGTATGATCTATCAAACGATATTTTTATTACTTTCTTTAATAAATATAGAAACATCATCTTTGCTGAATCAATATAAGTCAACCAAAGCCCAACAGACACAACATCAAGTCTATCTTGACTTCGACAATCAAGCCAATGATACAATGTTCAAAGAACAGAAGCAAATGGTGATAATGATCAACAAATATCAGAATTGAATGTAAACATATAGATTGATAATTTCTTCTACAAAATTTTGAAACTTCTCTTTTATCAGATGTGTCAATTGTCAACAAAAGTTACCAATAATGAAGTATATCTCATAAAAGATATAAAAGCTGAAATTCAGAAAATTCCAAATTTTCTAACAAAACATAATACATCTTTTCAACAACTATTACAACAGGCACAATCATTACTACAATCAACAACAACTACTACAGGTAACAAAGTCGAATCATTACGAAAAGTAGCACTAGTTATCTATAAAATCATGATTATACAAACTTGCCATCTACTTTGGACAACATATCTACAATCAGGCCAGGGACAATTATTGATACCATCTGATCTAACAAAAGTATCAGTATGGCCAAAAGAGCTTAAAATTTTATAAAAAAATGAATGACCAGACCAATACTCATGAATTTTGCTTGAATTTTGTCAGTCAACATTTATATGAATTGAATGAAAAAGCAAATAACATTTATGGTTATTGATTAAAAATTCAAGGAATGATTGAAGCATACATTGAACAACATATTCAATCGTTTCGTCTGAAAATTGAACATCAAATTGAACCGATACATTATTATTCTTATATACGAGTATTAAAATTCAAATATGAACGGTATAATCCAAATCAATATCAAGTAGATTTATTGTGCAACATAAATACCTGTCTGAATTAGTGCATTTTTTAGATACAGTTAATCAAACAAATTTGCCAAAGTAAATATGAACAAGAAACAGCAGAACAAGAATATAATTTATTAAAATAGAAAATTGATTATTACAATTCACCTAGTCAATCATTTGAACATTCATCTATAGCTCAATCAACAATAATTGAATCGATTCAAAATGCAGAGATTCGACAACATTTATACAATCAATATCGTGAAACAGCTTTACAACGTAGAACTAGTTTATTTCAATTGTATCTTACAACAGCTGAAGATGAAAAGCAGGAATTCCAAAAGAAATATGAAGAGAATATGAAGCAATTACAAAGTGATGAACGTTTTATCGATGGCAATGCAGACTTTTCTTCGATTCTATTTCAAATCATCCATGAACGTTGTGAAAAGATTCGTGAACGCATTAGATGTGTCTACAAATTCAAAGCTCAATCTATACTCCATAAAACTACATAATTCTTATATTGATTCAAAATACTTTCAAAAAATATATATATAATCACAACTACATATTATACTTTTTCTTTTTTGTTTACTTTCAGTTAAACTCATATAATTCCATTACTTTTACTGAACAATCGATGTAGATGAAAATAATATTCATGAGCAAAGTCAAGTATTAAATCCACAACAAAAGAAAAGATGTCATGGCAATCGAAGAGATCAACGATTCCGACGAAAATGTCGTCATTGTGGAATGAGAGCAGCCAAAATAGAGAAAGTACTTCAAAACCTAAAGCATGTGAAAACGAACAAGAAGAAGAAAAGTCGAATAGAAAGCTATATGAATGAAATGGCACAATATGATCAAGATTCATCAATAATAGTACCATCTGCTACATCAAAACAATCAACAACAACTCTCACAAATTTTAACAAACGTAAACGAAATATGTCATATCAAGGTTTAAATTCATATTCTACAGTGCCAAAATCAACAAGTTCAGTATCTATACTGCAATCGTTAACGAAAAAGACCAAGCAACATATGACAACCACAGCATTTTGAACTATGCCACCAGTATATCACAAGAGAATCGCTGTGCTACAAATCAATAAAACTTCCAAGCCAAAAGGCCTCGTCGCACAAATTAGTTCTAGTAGATGAATATCACGAACAGTTTGGTGAAAATATTAACTTCATTGCTTATTTGATCATAAACTTGCTTTGTTTGCATGTACTGCTCATGAATAGAAACATTTCATCGAGTCTGATCTTCAATTAAATTTCAAGTGGTATCATTTATTAAAGAATCTGAATTTTTTAAAAATATAATGAATAAATATAGCTTACCAGTGAGAAATGATTCAAAGATAGATTTCGATATGCATCCATTTTTTCTTCATCATATCATATATCTTGAGCTTATATATGTATTAAAGGGAATAGCCGTGGGAAATTTCCAAGTGAAATATTTTTCGTCCGCCTATGCATTCCTTCTTCAAACGCAGATATACATTCTTATCCGCCTATATCATTGCATTGTTTCACATCTCTTTGCCATTTTTTCGTATTCGCCTACGCTTTCTTCTGCTATAAAAAGGTATGCTTTTTTCATTTTCATTCATTTATCATTCCATTATACTTACTTTGTTCATATCCGATTCTTCTTTTTAGAGCTGAGTCCGCTATAACAACAATCCACCTCTTCAAAATTACTATCAACAGATATGATGGAATATAACAATAGTGGTCTTGAAATCAATATAGAACAAGATGAACAAAAGAATAATTCAAAACAATCATCGATTATACCTGAAATACGACCATTGAAATGTCCAAATCCGGTTGTTAATCGTCTATCTCTTTTACCAGCTTATCCAACATTCGATCGATTTGGACCTATTAATGGGGATCATCTACTTTTGGCTAATGTTCCTGTTCGATATTTAACAAATGAGCAACAACGACGTCGTTCTCATTATCAGTTTCATCAACCATTTACTCTTACTGATCAGAGCAATGATCTTAACGTTCGACCATTCTTTGTTAAAATCTATGGCAACTTATACGAAAATCTTACTAAACGTTTTCATATTGATGATGCCACTCTCGATTATAATTATGAACGTCTTTCTATGTGTATGAATATTATGACACAAGAACGAATTCGATATGGTTTACTTCCAATTGATACTATTGGCATGGCAAAACTAAGACTGGATGAATATACATTAGCTATGGAATTCTATCTGCAAATTGATGGTAAATTAATTTAATTTCAATCATCCAAGCTTTGTATTTGATTTTTTTCTTTACATTCAATTTAGATGAATTGTTTTTTATGAAAACATGTTCATTTCGTAATGCTCAACCATCATCATATGAACATCGTGGTATCTTCTGTATTAATGAACCACGATCCTTTTATGGATTACAACCATGTGAACTTGTAACATGTCGATTTTGTTATCCAATCAAAGAGGTTCTCATGCATGGTCGACAAAATCAACCAGTTGTTCAATTTTCGTCAGCACATACACATCGTTTCCTTAATGGCTATGAGACTATTCTCAATTGTCCAGCGGTATATGATCTGAGTATGTTACATATCTATTGTTCATTGTTTCACTTTGCTAGTCGTGCACAACGAAGAATATTCTCTATGCACTTACGTGTCCTTGTGCTCGATTTGATTATGTAGGATATACATCAATGACATTGGATGAACAACTCAAATGTGAGTATAATTTATCCTCAATAAAAACTAACCGTAAATACATATAGATCATCGTGAACATGGTAATCGAATTATTCATGAATTTATTCTTGGCCCAGAAAATATCAAACAAATACAACAACGAACAAAATCACCAGAGTAATTCAAACTTATTCTTGAATGAATTTATATGGATATATATGAATTTATTTTAGAGAACTAATCGTCGATGATATATTACTTTATAAACATTTAGCTCATTGTCCTTCAGCTATTCAAATGTTTCTCGATTGTAATCCACAATACTGGCATTTTGTTCCTATGTTAGAATCAGAAGCGGCAACACAAAATCTTTCTTGTAATTTATCATCAAATAATTATACATTTTCTCCATATCAACGTTTCAAACAACCACAAATTCTAAAAAATAAACGTGACGATCTTAAACCTAATGTGCATCTTGATATTTACAATGCTTCAATTATAGCTGTTCGTAAGTTTCCCTTTTTCCTAACATATTTATACTTCTATATTGATACTAAGTGCCAGACAACTGTACGCAGTTATTTTACCATTTGATTGAAGCATTATTTATTACACATGCTCAAACAAAGTTGAACACATTGGGTCATCTTGACGGAATGATTGTTGAAAACAATAATAGCAATAATACATATGCTCGATTAGTGAGCACTGGTCACGATAGTAACTGGTGTCAAAATCTTGTTCGTCGTCCAGTGATCTCATACGAGAAAACACGGTCATTAGCAAGTCAACGAAGAAATCCACATTTTCAATAAATGAGTTTTTGTTGCTTTTTGCTTCTATATATCTTGATATAATGTTTACTTCTATCTTTTATTTCAGATCCATATTCTTTTCTCCATACCGATGTCAAATAATGATAATCCTTTTCAATTAGGCCATTCACAAGATCCTATTCTTGCTATAAACGATAGCATACGACCAGGTTCACAACAGCAACAACAACAATCAAAAAGGAAAAAGAAATCTCGTGGTAATCGTAAATTACAAAGATTTCGAGCAAAATTGAAGAAACAAGGCTTGAATGCTGAAACAATTGAAACAATAATCGATCGATATAATGAACCAGTGCAACAACATCCTAGTCGAAGACTAACAGAAGCATTAGATACAAATATCAATGTAGAAGAATTAATCGAGATCAATCAGTCGGTATGAGATATAGATTTTATAAAGATATATATTCATTATTTTTTTCCGATATAAAATAGGAGAGAAGATATGCTGATGAAGATATTCGAACAACGACAACAAAACGAAAACGAGAGACTCGTCCCGCAGGTGTTACAACATCAATTAGTCAGGTTTCTATTGCGCCACCAATAGAAAAACGTCGTTCTCGGTCTGTTGCTCCTGTTGTTACTACAACAAGTATTGTATTGAGTAATGCTGTCGAAGCAAAGAATAATCAATCAGATATGAAACCAAATTATTTAAACACTCCAGATAACGTTTTTAAGAAGATGTTATCAACAGCATTAGAAGGCGCTGAAAATATTATTGATTTAGTAGATACATCCCAAAAATTAAAATATGCTCGTCAATATGCTCAACTTGTTAATGACTTATTCTATTTGAAATTAAAACGAGAGTTTTGGGCACATTATTACAAGCTAGCTATTAATGCAGGGATATGGTCAATGAAATTATCTAAACAATTCATGAAAGAGAATAAATTAGACCAAATTCAATTTATAACACAAAAAAATGTTGAAAAATATCAACAAACAACGGCTGAACTATTGAATCTAGCTGAAGTAAAATTGAATCAACATAAACAATTAGAACTTGGACAATCCATGGATCTACAACGATTATCAACAGTAATTCCTGCATTTGTGCGTAAAGGTCAACATAAATTGTCCGCTGATTTCAAACGAAAAATATCAAAATTGCAATTTGATATCAATGATTATATTTTCGTACAAGCATTCTATGCTCTACAACCGTCTCAAGATGAGGTCCGAATAATTCTAATCAAGGTCTATCTCCTATTGATTTACATTTGTATTTAGATTGTGGCAGCAAAAATCATTTGGCAAGCATCTATAGCCAAACAACAAGCTGAAGAATATTTGGCCGTATTGAAAAAGCGTCTCTATATAAAGCGATTGCCAGCTTCATACAATGTTCTCGATCATTCGATTGATAATATCGAAAAAATGGTTCAAAATATAGCACTAAATGAAGACGAATGTGCTTCGATATTATCTCGACGTCAAAAGATGATTGCTCAATTTAAATATGATTTAATATTGTTAGAAATTAGCACAAATGAACAAATAGCTCGAAATCATGCAACTATGATTGCTTGTGAAAAGAAAAGGTTAATTGATTCTGCCGGTGGTCAAAATACATTACCAAAGCCAATGGTTTCTATTTTAAATGGTATTTCTGCACGTCAATCAAATATTATTAAACGTGCTGAATTAATCACTAAACATAAGGTGTCTTTTTTCGACGAAGCTCCGGTGGTTACAGAAGAAATCCAGGCGGCTGGGACAACCATCGGAGCAACACTTTAAAGAAACCTGGCCATATTCGTTTGTCAACACCAATCATTGAAGTAGCTCCATTTCCTTCATTTAATTGTATTGAGTTTCTGGCTAATGGTCCACCATTTATACCAACTTGTCAAAGCCATTTCTCAAATGTGCCAATTGGTATTCGAATTACACGAGAACATGAAGCACTTGTTAATTCCTTCAAATATGGTCTTCATGCCAATTGTGTCTCAGCTTCTGATCAGCGAGCCAATGCATTTTTTGCTGCCATCAAAGATCTATTATATCAATCCTATACAAAACCATTATCTCCTGAATTGTTCGCTCGTGCTCGATATGAACAAAAAATGATAAAAACCATTAAGCATATTCGAAATAAACATAACATTATTATACAAAGATCAGATAAGAGCAAAGTATTTCATTTAGCTAGTGCTATTAGTTATCATGATAAATCAGTTGCATATATGGCAAA